AGGGAAAAAAGAGCCTGACGTTGTTAGAATAGGTCACACTTAAGAGCACACATTTGGGCTAGAATGCATTGTACTATTGAATATATTGCAAGTAACACAAATGTCAGCAAATTAAGAGTGAGTATGCATACTAGTGGTGCAACTGGAGTGAAGAAGTTACCTAAATCTCCAGCACTTTCGTATTTTATCATAAAGCTTATCAGTGATGACTATTAGAAAGCGTCATAAATAAATGTATTGCGCATAACCGAACATTATATTAGATTATAAAGCACGGCGATTTCGGGTTACGAATTCGCACTTTGTAGTGTTATTCATTCGGTAAATTTAGGGACGCTATAAAACATGTGAGAAAGATTCATGTCAATGTAAAGAACTAAATGAATAAATTATATGTTGTCAAGGTATATAAGTCTTTTTAAATGAATGAGAGAGGATGTTCTATAACATTTTTTTTACATAAAAGTTCATGTAAATGCCTTTCTGACCAAAGGCTTACTATGGTCAACACAAACTTTTGCGTACATTTTTTGCTTTAAACCCACCTATATATCCAAATAAGTGTCCTAAAATAATGTGCATTTCTTCCCAAGTTATATATATATATATATATATATATATATATATATATATATATGGTTTTTTAAAGTGTATACAGATGACCCTAAGATGTCCGTCACATGTTGCAGCATATATATATATATATGTATATATATATATATATTTATCAACTCTGACAACTGACTTGTCATACAGGGATGTTAATCTCGTTGCAGTAACATGTGACTATGACATTTTAGGGTTACGTTGTTTTCTGGATAATAGACAAAGTACTGTTTGTCAAACATTACAACCCTGGAAGATGTCAATGAATACCAGAATAATTATGTTTAAACGGAGTTGAAAAACGTATTTGTATTATTTAGGCTAACATAGATTGAGGTGACGACGTGTTAATAAATCTACCTTTCAGCCAAATACCAATCATAAATATACGTCGTTATACACAATGATAATTTAACATGCTAAATTCTATCAAATATATGGGAAAAGTCGAATCCTGATGTCAGGAACCCATTTTGAAATATATATATACTACAGTATAAAACATTCGGAAGATTTATTTTATTGAATACACTAATACGATACATTAATTTTGAATTGTACCAAACATAAAAATATTGAATGACTTGGGAAGAATAAAGGCTACTTCAGCTGCAAATTATTTCGAATAGTTGTTATTAAAACTCCTAATAAACAGAATAATGATCTATGAAGCTGACTTGTTGATAATGACAAAAAATTACAAGCACAGGTGACTTCATACATATGTTTTTATGGTTTCCGAAGCGATTACTGTGAAATTAAAATTTTATAGAAGGCTTCTTATAGGTATCGATTTCTAGTGGTTTTATTTTCTAGTCAGATTTTATTTTTTAAGCTTTTTATTCATCGAGTTATTTTTCTACTTATCCTATATTTGCGACAAGTAGCTGAATCCGCCTGTATCTCATCTTCTCGGCGTACTTATACGAGCAGCGTAAATGGACTTAGAAATTTCACAAATTGAGGCGAACAATGGCCAGATTTCAACGTGAACAACATTATATATAAAAAAAGCATCTTTTATGTTCTTCAAATTGTTATCAATTATTATATTCTGTCGTTTTACAATTTAGTGTCCAATCAGAAACTGTAGACAACGTACTTAAGTAATTAATTTTTATTAAGCTGGGTTGTATGTACCTCCAATAAGAAATTTACAGTGCTGGTCGAATAACATAAATAATATAACGAGCAGAACATCTGGTTTAATAAACGGTAACCCAAAATGAGTTCAAAGCAGTTTACGACAATAATAGAAACGAATCACTAGTTTCTTTTTATATTATTTGATCAACATCACCTACAAAATGACAAATCCTAGAACTTTTATATTGTATTTACAAGACACTTGTGCAATTCAGAAATTGGGACCCAATTATTCGGAAAGTATTATATGTCCAAAACTGTTTTGAAATAACCTCAAAGAATGAGGACTCTCGTTTAGTTCATCAGACTAAACGTTGGAATTATTTAAGCTTCAATGGCTAAAATAATTTCGAATAACATGTATTAATTTAGTCTTAAACTTCTTTTTGTTAAGAAAAACCCGACAATCAACTGTCAAAATTAGAGCAGAACTAATTACACAGCTCAAGGTATCCGATTAATCCTATTCACTGGTTGAAGTATGCCTAATAAAAAGTAGTCTATAATATTCTTTTTAGACAGACTTATGTAGAGAAGTTAACTTGCAGGGCAAAACCACCAAATTATCCAGCAACATTTTTAACAAACTTGATAGAATATACCATTTGAAAACTTTACATCAGTAGGTAAGTATTTAAGTAACAAATTTTAGGGTTGAATTAGTGACATTAAAAGGTACCAACTCCCGACCAATTTTTTATTCATTCACCATCAAGAAAATGAGCGAGAACTAACGAAATGTTAACTTCATAAATAATATTAACAGACATTATTGCTTAAGTAGCAGAATGAATTAAAACGTAATGTAAATATTTATTTCAAAACTTGGTATCAGCTGGTCAATGCTGTTTATCTAGTCAACGTTTATTATTGGATAAAATAATAACTAATCATTTTTCCCAATAACGTATAGAATTGATTTAGACAATGAAGGTTTTACTTTACTGACTGTTTATTGAGTAAATGAGAGAAAAACATTTGTTTCTGGCAGTTAATCTTGATTATTAAATACCAACTAAATGTATATTGATCAGTTTAACGAAAACATGGGTAGATTGTGTGAATGAAGTTACTTCTCATGACTAAGTTTAAGATTGCTGACTCAGACTATCATTTAAAGCAGTTAGCTATAGAGCAGCTGGTTCAAACTTACTGTTAATGCTCTGTCATTACTTTGTGTTTCAACTATTAAACTGTAAATATGTCTACTCAGGCAGACCAGTCATTAATCAACTTGTGCATATGTATTACCAGGAATAATGTATAACACTTATTAGAAAGTTAAAAACAACTATTAACCATTGTTTTGTTTCCATAAACTAACACAAAAGAATAGAAAATAAAATGAAATCAAAAACAAACTCTAGATTATCAAGTAATCAAGAGTGGATGTCATAACACAAAAAAACTGAAATCGATTTTTTTTAAATAAACGAAACTTTAAACAAACATATTATTTCTACTTATTTCACTGTTTAAGAAATAGCTTAACTCAGCTGTTCAAACGTCAAATGCTAGCGTAATCTTGAAATATACTTACTACGACAAACTTTTAGCTCAACTAATCATAAGTTAGTTCGAATCCCATAAACTTCACACTTTTATTTTTTGTTAGAATAAGCTAGGTCATGCTTAATAATAAAAAATGAGCATTCTGAATCAGGGATGGTGGTGAAATATGTACGGACACTTAAATTTTTAGCTGTGTGATAAGATATCTACTTAGACTGTGGATCAAAATTGTCAAGAATTTGTCAAAGAATTCCAAATCAATTATTAAGCAAATCTAGGTACATTTAGTCATCATAATACTATCGATGTCTTTTTGGGTTATCAAAAGTGTATGTAATGTTCTGTGCAACAAATTATGAAATGAATATGCACACAAACCATAAATGATCAAAAGAGAAAGTGATATAAAGCAATCAACGTCATTCGGAATATGCTTTATTGCATCACATTTAGTGCACTACGCATAAGCAAACTATTCATTCTTTCACAAAAGATTAAAATGGAAAACGACCTAAAACGTATTTATATGCTTGCAACAAAATATATTGGATTTGGAAGGAATTCATACATTCAAAGGGTTTACTATTATGAAAATCAGTAGTCAGAAGTTCTGTGAATTAGGTCAACTAACTGTTCGTTACAAGTTGTTAGTTTTATTACTAATTCTGTCTCATAAATTCACTTCGTTGGTTTGATGATTCCCATACATGGACATAAATATTACTGAACATTAAACCAAATGAAGATCTGTTCGAAAACTATATTGTTTCCCTGTATATGTTGTTTTAATTGACAAAATGAAAATTTATAATATCTCACTACACTTTCAATAAGCTACCCATTCAACTCCTTTTCTATAAGGTACACCTATTGAACTAAAAATTCAAAATTATGTCTACTTTTATATCAGTTAAATAACCATGTGTTTAATTGGTAAAATATGATACAAGGAATGAATTCATTCCCATTTCCCTTCATATCTGTGTAAACTTTCAATTTTTTAATCAACAATTACACAAACAGGTGAAAATAGATTATATTCAGACTGTGAACGAACCTGATCATTGGAATTTCAATGAAATAAATAAACCGATTCAAAGAATATTACTTTTACGAGCAATTTATAGCATATCTTTGCTTAGTGTGACGTCAATTAAACAGAGAGAATATAGTCCTTATATTATACGAGTAATTCCTCGCCTAAAACGTATCTTTCCTTCTTTTCAACCATTATTCCTTTTTTCTCTTCTCATATTTAGCTTCTATGTTCCTAAAAATGGTCCTGCTTTACTCTATTTTATTTTTATTATCATTAAGATTTTTCCTACCCGGACTTATTGATTACTACTCAGACGTCTCCTTCATTTCAACTTAGCAATACTCTCATCGATTATTAGATTTCTGATTTTTTTTATAAATCACCTTATCCAATAATTATTTGTTTATTCCAAAAAAATTAGTCGATTTTGACATAACTAGTCAACATTTAGTAACATTTACAACTACTCGACCTTTACATACATATATTCACGATTGCAAAACGTTGGAAATAAACTCTTCAAAAAAGGATTCCTCCACTGAATGAGTTATTCTCTAAAGTTAGTTTTACAATTATAGCGATATATCATATGCTATCATAGAATTTAAACCTGCTCACTTTATTCAATGTATATTGGTTGATTTTAAATTACACCAAATACAAATAAATAGAAAATGATAAAGAATGAGGAACTCACATTAGGTAAAACTTTCCAATGTTTATCTGACAGTGCTGCTTTCGTTTCCAGTTCAATAGGCAAACCATTTATGTCTGATTTCTTTTTTGGTCCTTCGGATGCTACAGAAACATCTGCTGATTCTCTGGTTGAACTTCTACCTGAATCATGCTGATCATCTGGACATCTTTTCAAATGTTTTCCTTCAGATATAATATGTGAGTTTTCATCTGTTGGAGTTTTATTTGTCTCATCTCCTGGATAGTTATAGGCATCTCTTGTTAATTTCTCTAAGTATAACTCTTGCTTACAAAATTGAGGTCCATAGGTTTCATCAGCGGTTGGTGTTAGGGATCCTTCTGATGGACTAACATCAGTTTCATCTTGTCTCTGTTGAATATTAGTCTGTGACTCATTTGATAATGTTTGTAACTCTACATCAGGTGACATTAAACCTGAAGAATAAGCGGTAGTTGAATCATCTTTTCGACGTTTTCTTGAGGGAGAAAATAATGAACCCAGAGATAATGTACGCAGAAATGTGAAAGGTTTGCTTTTTGATTTTGTCTCATTTCCAGAAGATAATGTGGAGCCAGCTGTTAATGTAGCGGACTTTTTTTCTATTGTCCATCTTGTTAATCTATTGGAAGATGATGACGGCTTTTCTGAAATATCTTCTTCACTATCCGACCGATGGAACATACGTGGTAATGTAGAACAGCCTCTTTCATTTGAACTACCGGTCACCGGTGTCCTACTCTTACTTGATTTTCGCCTTACACAACGCAACATTGTAAAGGAAAGTTTAAAAATCTGACATACAGAGAAGTCTGGAACTGCTTTAGGAATGAATGTAGTGGGATGCGATATGACTTGGCTAAATTAATAGTACACTATCGTCATTATTGTTTGTTTTTCCACAATATATCATAACTAACACAAAGTAGTATAGAAAAGCAAGCATAAAGACAACTTGTTTCTGTAAATTTCACTAAAATGTTTTAGCAACAAAGCATTTAAATTGATTGTGGAGTTGAAAATTTGAGAAGATAGTTTATCATGATGAAAACGAGAAGGCACTCTACATGAAAGTATAAAGTTTTGATGACTAAATAGTAGGACAACAAACAAAGTGAAAGCAAAATAATAACAAAACTATGTAGTAATATTAATCGATATTGTCTTCACACTTTTTCGACTTAACTATATAAAATAATATTATGTATGAGGCACTAGTAATAATTCTCACTTGAGTAAAACGTATTAGTGCAGTGGTGTTGACTTGCTGAACAGACTGCACCGGGTTCTGTAAAAGATAAAGGGGACGAGCTCTTAATTCCTCCAGAATAATATGCTTGGTCCGAATATACGACAAACGATCACTTTGTAAAATGAATTTGAAGCTTCAGATTTGTAATTCAAGTATTCTTCGGAAATTGATTCTCATTTTCTGATCAATTCCCTAACTGACCAATTAAAATTAAATAATTATCCATTTTTAGAACTGAAAATTTAGTTGGTTAGATTTTTCGGGCTATGCGCTAACTGTTATGGTCAGTATCTGTCTGTCCACTTTATTTCTTTGCGGATTACGTCGAACTATGGAGACTAGGTGGCATATGGTTAATATATGTCTAGATTCAATAAACAATCATGGTATTCTTATTACCATTATTTTCATCACGAATCAATATCTGTCAAATTACTAGGATGGTGTTTAATTATTTTCTCGAACTTAAAACGATATGATCCCAAAATATGTTTTATTATCACGGTATAGACATTTTGTAAAAATAGGGATTATTTTAGAAAAGGTGACTTGACATTTACCAAGCTCAAATATTTGATAATTGAGGAGGAAAGCAATGAACTATGTCATTGATCTCAGAAAGAAACTATAATTTATGTTATAATCACAGTATTATCGATAAATTTCGTGTCTTCGAATGTTTTTTTAGTGATTGTTTCAGTCATTTAGATTTACATTTGCAAATAATCTGTAATAAAGTAAGCTGAAAAAAACTACTGGAGAAGAAATGATAGTGCTAGCTAACCATGTACATGAATGCAAAACATTTGGTGTATAATCATGTCGTGTATGTAGTTTGGAAGGTTGCTATGGTTCACAAACTCAATGGTTAAGCTTTTGAACCGAACAATATGTCGGTCGATCACAGTCTGAATAGCTCATTAGGAACGTTTCAGACTACGAAATTGAGTCACAAGGGTTTGAATACTACATGGAACATCATTTCCCTCAAGATTACACGTACATCTAGATGATGGATGACAACTAGCATGACATGTAGGTACAGGGTTTTCTGCTAACAAAATCAAATTTAATGAAGACGATCCTTCGAATATTGTTATGAGTAAGCCGCTTGTTAACAAGAAAAACTGGAACACATGAATAGATATGTCAGAACCAAAACAAACGCTGTGTTTACAAGACATTGATTCAAAGAGCTATTATCGTGACTATCTTGACACTATTACATTATGACACACAGAAATATTGTTTCCCCACACATTTTTGCCTGATTTGTTGATACAAGCATATGTCTCTGGTATTTCCTTCCACGAGTACTCATAAGTTTTATTTGATATACCATGTGAGCCATATCGAATTCATTTTACCGATTAGAAGGAATTTCAATGAATAAACCAAACGGTCCATTCAATTTTATTAATGTCAGGTGCGTTAGAGATGAGGCAGCTTATTTTTTTATTATCCGTAGCTCTCTTCAAAAACTAGGCTGTTGATATCTTTATGTTTATTTATTTAAGTAGTTATAAAAGTCAACTTTATTGACATATATTTAGTGGATAATAGCAATAATATAAGCCTTTTGCGGTTTACTCATGTCAAATTTACACACTTAGGTCTATATATGTATTCACCAGGATAGAATTTCGTAGTGTTCATGACTTACTTTATCTTCGTTGTCCTTTGATTGGTCATTCTGAGAGATGCTTCAAAATACTTTGTAGAATAGGCCTCGAACTAAAAACAAATGCACCTAGGTCCACGGGATCCGCTGACATACACACTCATTTCGTCAGTTGTAATAACTAATTCGGCATGTGGAACAATATAAAAGGATGACTGTGGTATTAGATTTTGCAACAATTTAGAGTACGAAACGTTCGTGATGAGAATAAGAAATAGAACCGAAATTATTAAAGGATACCTTAAAATAGATGAAACACGAAGGTGTAATCTCAGATCCTAAAATATCCTGACTATGTGACTAAAATAAAATACATAGGTTTGGAACACCTCTTCATTCTAATCGAGATATGATTGATTCACAATGATACTTATTTACATAGTGGATAACTCAAACCTTTGAATTAAGTCTAAAATAAATGTTCACTGCACGATAGATTTTCGTTATATGTAGGTAGTAAGTAGATTGATTGTTGCCGATAAGACAATATTATTAGATGTTAGTTTGCTACTTGTATTCTCGCCATCAAGAAAAGCTCTGTGCCTATTTGTCATTATTTCTATAAAAACGGAATATATCTTCGAAGTCCTACTGCTTATTTTAGGAACCTACTTTGAGATGTGTTTTGATCATGTACTTGAGCCTGATTATTGCATTGTATTTACAGTATAAGATTCCTACTGAGTGTGCCATGGCTGATTTCCTTATAACCTCGATAAAAAATCCTGTAAACGTCATTTGATCATAGAAGATCACTTACGGAAGAGCTTGTTCAATGACGTATTCATAATATGTAATGGTAAGCCCGGTGTACAAAAGATCGAGTATTTTATAGTCTGTAATGAAAAATGAATGCTTACTCTAGATCCTTTTTTTGATAGTTCACTTACTAGAATAAATGATGTTACGCTGAAAGGTTCATAAAAAACTGACTTTGCTATGAACTTATGATAATAAGAAGGTAAAACGCCAATTGGTTTTCAATGTTCATTCTATTGTGAAATTCATCCAGCAGGCGGCTTGAAGCATAAAACAGCCATTCTAAAATCAGCTTTTCAAGAAAATCATACACTTGCTACCATTTGCTGAGTAAAATATGCTACGACAGAAGTTTCGAAGGGCTGAATATTGTGTTCCATGGACTTAGAATTCAAGCAAGATACATGTACCGTGTTAAATTTATCCTGCTGTTTGATCCATCAGTTTGTAGAAAGAAAATGTAGAATTATGTTTTAGGTAGTTATCTGATACACAATTATTTAAAAATGAAAACAACCCTTCTAAGAACCGACGTCTCATTCGAAAAAAGTTACGTGTTGTTATGGTTGACTCAGTATTATTATGATCTTTCGACGTCCCCACAACAACAGTTATTAATGTAAGATTTTATACCACAGTATTACTGTAAACCTTGCTACGTGGCCGTATCGCACAGCTCACAATTATTCTTACTGGTCACTGTTGCATATAAAGTATTATAAATACTGTTGTATCACTCACATCACTATCTTCTCCTGGGACATAAAAATCCATTACTGTAACTGTTCCTAATCAGGTTTGGTTATTTTTTGCTGTTTCGATGTTGTGTTTTGGTCGCTTATTCATCTAGTCAAGGAGAACTACTTGTGCATTAGAAGTATCTACAATTTCTTCTTCAGAAGAGCTGCAAGCAGTGCATACGCATCGTAATGCATAGATAGTCAAGAGAATGTTACTTTTGAGAAAAAGATGAAAACTCTGATATGTCGAGATCTTAGATGTTTCATGTATGATATTTTATTGAGAAGAGACTTGGGAATACAGGATACACGACTATCATAACTGTTTTTTAATTTAGTTAGCGAGTAGAAACTGGGATTGAGTATCCATTCTAACACATAGAAACTACCTAGTTATAACAAGCAACATTTATATGTTTGAACATCTACCATGTAATGGATTCAGTTACTAAGAGAATCAGTTATTTTGAAGTAGTTTTTTATTCTGGCATTCTTCTTATCTTGCTAATGTAAAATTATGAAGAATGTCGGGTTCCTTGTTCACTACTCTACTACTAAATTACATGGTAAACATATTATCAGAAGACTTTAATTCTGTATGTTCAAATTTAAATAATAACACTTCACAGCATCTTCCTTACCGATTTAGTGCTTACTGAAATCTATGACAAGGTAACTTTACCATTTCAGAACTTCTGTATTCCTGAATATTATAAGGGGAACATTGAAAGCCCTGATGTATAGCAATCTGTAACCCAGTAAGAATGATGTAAGGTGACTTTTTCACGGTCTGCATAAAAAATAATTTATAGAAAATAATACAGTTAAGGAAAATTAATTACCACCGCCTTATGTCAACTTGAAATCGTCGTGTGGAGGCTTCAACTGAATTTCAATATAACTGGAGGCTATGGTTGTTACAATACCTGATTAAAAAACAATAATCATAATCGTGGTTTATTTTTTCAGCAAAATAGTTATTTTTGGTTACCGAAAAAAAACAGTTTCCGGAACTGTACTCTAGCTTCTATTCCTTGTAATCCTTATATATAAAAAGAATAACGAAAATAATTTGAGGTCAGATATAGTGAAAGTAATCAAGTCGACATAAATTAAGAAGAAATCATAAACCTAAAGAGAATAAGTTCAGTAAGTATTTTCATAGCCAAAGTATTTTATTCAATGATGACTGTACAAAATATAACGCTCATGTGAAATTTGAAATGTATTAACATTAACACTATGATCACATCTATGAAAGCTATATTTTATGCAAATAGATAATCGACCATAGGCTCCATTACGTCTAAATTTTGTGGTGGATGTGCCTTATATGAAAGTT